AAAAAAAAAAAAAAAAAAAAAAAAAAAAAAAAAAAAAAAAAAAAAAAAAAAAAAAACCATATAAGCTTACCTTCTCGGATTCTTTTTCTTCGAGACGGTTAGAAACGTACGAAGCAAGAGATACAACTTTCGAGAGATTTGACACATTCAGCTTTTGGTTCGAGATTGATTGCGTTAACGTTACAAAAATAAGTGATGCGCGTGAATGAATTGAGATCACTCATGAACATGAGTGATTTTGAAAATACGAAATTATAATTAAGAAAGTTAAGCGTGTTTGATTTGAGCAATCTTATGTTCGGGACCTCCTAAAGATTTTCTTATGAAGAATTTTGCGATGCCGATGAAAATAGGGGTATATAAATAAATCGAGAGCATATTCGAATGAAAGTGATCGTGAGGATACGATGATTAAGAAATATTTAAAAAAATCGATAGTTATTATTTTGTTAATAAGATGCATATTCCTTTTCGGTAGTGATAGAAACTTCAAAGATAGGCATGTTTAGCTCAGAGCAACTCTATGCTCGGTCACGAGTATTTGTTTTCAAATTTTAAAATACTCGGCCATGAGTATTTTTTTTCAAGTTTTAAACGAGTCAATGAAGAGGCTCGTGCAAATTTGATCATCTTCATAAAAGATTTAAAATCTCGTAGCTAGTTCTATAAGTATCGCTATTTTTTATGATAAAATGTTTTTAACGTCAACTCGACAACTTCACCTAACACGACTCTTCCTTTGCAATTATAAAGGCACACACAATTGAGTAGTATGCATACTTTGATTAGCTTCCTTCATCAAGGGCGGTTGGCTATTGACTTCTTTCTCGACTTTAATGGACGAGTGAATGTACCACTCTTCCTGGTAGGTAAGAGTTCGTCCTTGTGTCGTGTAACTTAGGAGACCAATTTTCGGCCATGGTAGGCGCACTTTCATTGACTTGTTACTATCCATAGACAACCGATACCCACAAATCGGATCGAGTGAGGCCGATATCTAAGTCCATGAATCTAACAAGGTAATGATATGTTCTTTTCTTATAAATAGACCAGTCTCACTCCATTATTGAAGTAGAAAAAAAATACTTTTTAGATGAACTGTTTCACACCACTCTTTGAAGAGTGTCGAATGAACACTTTGATACCAATGCGCAATTCTTTATCTGGTAAGTATTCTTCTTTCTTTCTTCTCTCGATTTTCGGAAACTCGAATGGTACTGATGTAGAATAAAGTCAACTCATATAGTTTTTGAACTAAAATCATCATCAGCCATCAAATTTAGCATACTATAGTACGAGGCGAATCTCTTTGGAGACTAGCTCCAAAGTTCGAACCCTACGTAGAGTATATATATATATATATAATTGTTTTTTTTTTAAATAATTATTATCATTATTATTTAAATTTTATGGATGAGTATAAATTTAAGAGTAATAATATAGAATTAAAATTTTGGAGTAAAAATAGAATGCATTTTTTAAAAAAATATTTATGTTTATATATATTGGAAAAAGGGTGTTTTAAAATTTTATATGGTTATAAAATTATAAAAATTTGAAAGTCCAATCAATTTGCCATAACTAAAATGGAAACCTCATCATACCTATGGACATACATTTTTTAATGGATATTCAAAATCATGTATGGGACCATGCCTCATCCCATAATACTTATAAGGGCATCCTAATTTTGTCGAGTCGATTTTAATTTAAAAAATTATGCTCAACTAATTAATAAATATATCAATAATTAAAACGTCAAATGTTTGATTAATTTTTATCAAGTACATAGTTTGGATGGGTAACCCAAGCAACCTAAACAGAGCTCACAACCCAACCTAACCCTACCCTCTATTTTCGAGTTGACCCAACTTCAAATATCAAATATTTAACAGTCACAACATATCACTCACATTAGATACAAATGTCACATATTCTTAAAATTCATAATAATTTTAAAAGTACAGTAGAGTTGGGTTGGTCGAGTTGACCCAATTTTTTTCAATTCTTCAAATATTCAACCCAACCCAAATTCGAAAAAGTCTAACCTAATCTAACTTTTATGATTTGGGTTAGTTTGGTTATTGGGTCAGGCCTCACTTTTTGACCTTATTAAAAAATGTCTAATATCAATGAAGATATTGTCTCTAGTTTATATATTTATGATATTTCCTTTACTTAAATGAATATTGAACGTTGGTTGACTCTCAACAGTTTCGATATTGATTTTATCTTGATTAAATATTTAATGGGCTCGAAGAATTTAAATATATTTTTTTTAATTTTTAAAATTTTCAAAAATTTTATGGATCTATTTGGAGGCAACCCATTGAATTCCATATTCTTTCGCCCATTCATATTTTTTCAAAGCCGTTTGGTAGAAAAATTAAGAGTTTCGGTTTGGTTTCATTCAACAATTTTTAATGGGTTTTGCTTACAAGTCAAGAAGTTAAAAACTAGGGATGGGAGTGTTTTGTTTTGAACCCTTTTGCTTAAATGCACGTTTTTCACGTTATACGATCAATTGTTCTTCAAATGAATATCATCAGAAAATTTGAAAATATCGATAAAGATGTCTCTTGTACTAAATGATTAGAAAATATCAAAACTAGACGCTATTCTAATTTTCTAAACCCACAATTTCATTTGATTGAATCCAGTTTAAAGCCATTTGATCGAGATCGAGTAGCTATAGCAGATCCATTTTAGTAGCAATATTTTTCACAATCTCGAGAGAGATAGTTCACTAATAGACTAAGGGATCAGGGCACAAGGGTCCTGGTACTATCCATGTGCTCTCCCGTACCCTTATTTCGTTCGAAACCCTCCTATAACGACATAACAAAAACGACGTCAGTAAAGTGGTCGTTGATCTATCATATTGTCTTGTCGATGTATTAATACCCATCTATTGTATTCCCTCGAGTATTTTTTATATTTTTTTAAAAAGTATTTATATTAATGTTGATTTTATTGGTAAAAGATTTTGGGGCTCAAACTTGGGCCCCAACTGGGCCCACTTTAATTTTGGGCCGATTTTCTGGGCTCTGAAATTTCTAACTCCACGTAATATGTTTTTAAGTAATATAATGGTCCCGAGTTCGATTCTACAAATGCCCTTTTTCTCTATTTAAAATTTAATTAAACAAAAACTCTCCAGGATATTTGTTATACCAACAATACCCCTTACACAAACACTCTCCTGGAGAAGGCATCAAGGGTAATTTCGTCCAAAGTAGAATTCAAATTTATCCTTTCATTTCTGGAGATCGCAGTACTGCACCTCTATCCTATCTTCTTCTCCAAATTATTTGATCTCTCTCTCTCTCTCTCTCTCTCTCTCTCTCTACAGAGATGTCTTCCGCTCTCTCCACCGCTTCACTCCGGTTACCTTCTTGTTCTTCATCCTCTTATCCATCAAATTTCTCCCATTCCCTCAGATCCACTTCAATCCAATTTCCCTTCTCTTTCTCCTCCACCAATCTCTCTCTTCGTTTTGTTCATTGCCGCCCACTCTCTGCCGCCGCTGTGCCGGAGAAAGTTACAGAAATCGGAGATGTCATCTCGAAGTTGACTCTCGAAGAGGCTCGTACTCTAGTTGATTACCTCCAAGAGAAACTCGGTGTTTCCGCCGCCGCTTTCGCGCCTGCCGCCGTCGCCGTTGCTCCTGGCGCGGCTTCCGGAGGTGACGATGCGGCTGCCGTTGAGGAGAAGACGGAGTTCGATGTTGTTATTGAGGAAGTGCCGAGTAATGCGAGGATTTCGGTGATTAAGGCTGTTAGGGCTTTGACGAGCTTGGCGTTGAAGGAAGCGAAGGAGCTGATTGAAGGTTTGCCGAAGAAGTTTAAAGAAGGAATATCGAAGGAAGAGGCGGAGGATGCGAAGAAGCAACTTGAAGAGGCTGGCGCAAAGATTGCTATCGTTTGATTTGGCTGGTTAGTTTCTTCAATTTTTAAGGTTTACAATGTAGGCATTCTAGTCGAATTAGAAATGGGGTTATTTTTTGTTGTCAACTGTTGAAAAATTTAGTTGATATTCTGTTCATGAATGCCTTATTGCTCCTGAATTTTTGTGTGCTCAACTCACCATTGCTCTAGCTGTGTTCTGTTCTGTTGCTCTTTCTTGCATATAATGTGTTTGTTAAAATGCCAACAAGAAGTTTAGCTTAGGCGTTCTGTTGAAATTAGAGTTGGGGTATTTTCTTTTCAATTGTTAATTGATGAATACAATTTTATCAAAGCTAAGCCTTATAAAATGGGAAGAGGAGTACGATTTATCAAGAAATCAGCGGTGGGCAGTACACATTCTTCCCAAAATTTCAAAATTTCAAAATTTATTAGGTTCCCTGAACGAGGAATATTTAGGATATGTTAAATCTTGTGTTCAATCATGGAGTGTTGTTCAGTTTTGTTCAGGCTGTCCAACACACGAAAAGCTGATGAGTAACACCTTTAGATTGAAAAATGACAACTCTAGTGCATCAAAACGAAATTGTTTGATGAAATCCCAAACTGTGTCTCAATAATCCTAGAAGTGTTGAAACAAAGATAACTCGCATGAGTATAAGTTTGATATGGCCCCAACATGCTTATGTGATGCAAAAGATAGTCTATTCTGTTTAGCCCAAGGACACTAAACAAGGTGTAGAGATTTCTTAGCAGAATCAAAACAAAGAGCATCCCTTATAGCAAGCAAGAAGATTATTATTTGAGGAGTGGCCAAGACAAGCATGTCAAGTCCTATAAGAAACAAAGTAGAAAGCCAAGTCTTAGTTTTCCCAATCGTCCAAGAGAACTCTTACTGTAGGAGACATGAATCACCATCCAATCGGACCACAATAGGTAAATTTCTAGGTCAGGACCTGATGGAGATGAGATTGAAGTGAAGCTATGGAATGAACTTAACATTATTTGGTAATTTCTAGTTTATGCCCTGATGGAGAGGAGATTGAAGCGAAACAATGGAACGAACATTACATTATTCGGTAGATTTCTAGTTCAGGCCCTGATGGAGATGAGATTGAAGCGAAATCATGGACTGAACATCACATCATTAGGTAAATTTCTAGTTCATGCCCTGGTCGAGTTGAGATTAAAGCAAAACGATTGAATAAACATCACATCATGGAGAATGATGACTCGGTCGCCGTGAGATGAATATCACCAATAAAATCCATAACAATTCATGAACGGTTAGGCAGAAAAACAGTCATATCGAAAATCTTGAAGAATCTCGAGTGCTATGAAATCTTAAAGAATCTCGGATGCACCCGAATGAAGGATCCAATGCTCAAAATGTAGGAGCAGCATTAGAACACAGAACCCAAGTAGAGGCCAGTAATCCTTGACATTGTTCAATACTAAATGCTGAGAGAGGATCAGAACGAGTATGAACAATTCTTCACCATTGTTGAAGCTTCATAATGCCCCAGATCCACCGCTAGAAGATATTATCATCTTTGAGCTTTCCCTTTTGGGCTTACCCTCAAGGCTTTAAAACGGGCTAGGAGAAGGTCTCCCTACTCTTATAAATTGTGGTTTGTTCTTCTCCCCAACCAATGTGGGACGTCCATACTCTTATAAATGGTGGTTTGTTTTCTCCCCAACTAATGTGGGACATCACACTCTTGGAATGTTTAGGATTGTCGAGGTATAAAATATATTCCTGTAATATAGTTCATTTTGCAATTAGGAAATTATTGGGTTGTAGTCTATACATTTTTTGAACTTCGAAGATCTTACTGGAAACAAAATTTAAATCCGATTTAAGAATTAAAGACCTATTTAAAATTTCACATTAACTATTATTGTAATTAAAAGCACACACGAACGCACCATATTCCCTCCATTAGTAAGGATTAGTTTGGGCCATCATCAGCCCAATATAATGGGCTTCTAAACCATAGCGGTCCACATTGGGCCCGGAGTGAAAAGGCCCAAATGTTAAGATATAAAACGCCAAGAGGAGTCCTATCTTCGTCATTGTATCAAAAATGGGAATTCCGAAACCCTAATTCGCAGAGCCGCAGTTCTCCGGTGAACGTTGTTTTTCTTATTCCTTTCATTCGATTTTCATGTCTTTCTGTTATTACGGCGAGGATGATTATTGCTCTTTATTTCTGACACCTCTTGTATGAGAAGTGCGTTCTGAAAAAGATCGCTCTTCATTGAGCAGATTCAGCAACTTTCTGAGCCATTTTTTCTGTTTGCAGAAGCTTCTCTGTTGTTTTTCTTTTCAATTATAAATCGTCTTTAGACGTGTTTGATTTTTTGCTTCTCTGACTGATGTCGTATCTTGAATGTAAAAGAGTTTTCATCTATTCTGTTGTCGACTCGTAGCTGCTATTCTCCGGTGGCTTTCTCGTTCGCCACCAAACATTTTAACTTCTTGCGAAAAATGGATTGTGGTTGATGCTAAATTATTCTTTTGAAAGACTTGTCATTCTACATCGATTATTATGTTTGATACCTTTCATATTCACAAATCTTGTTTAAAAAATACTCGGGACATTTTCGAGTTACAGATCTTATGATTTGTTCTTCTCTTTTAGTCTGATTCTACGTCAATTTGTCATTATGATCATTATGATTGATACTTTTCATATTCATAAATCTTGTTTCAACAGTACTCTGACATTTTTAAGTTACAAATTTTATCATGACGATCTTTCGAGAATTTTAAGCGAGCCAACTATGCTTTTTAAACCATTAATATTTGTTAATTAACTAGTCATGCCTAAAATTGTTGCACTTATATATAATTAAGTGTCGGATCCTTTTAAGGATTTTGATTTTAAAACGAACCAACGTGGGATTATTTAAGATAAAATATATGAAAATTATTTTTTAGTTTATTCATATTATAGATAAATAATGTATTTAAAATCGTATAAAATAATTGTATAGTCATTCTTAATTTATTATATTATAAAAAATATAATTAAAGATAATATAAACAAGTTTATAAAATAGTCCAAAGCTAGATTTGAACCTGTGCGGGGGATTATCAGCATTGCTCAATTATATCTAATTTTACTTTCTATATTCTAATTTAAATTTACTTGTCAATACTTTGAGTTGAATTAGTTTGAGTGAATTGTAATATAATAATGTTGCAAATATAAATTGTAATATAATAATGTTGCAACATAGATTAGAATTTAGTAGATTAGAATTTAGAATATTTTAAATGTAGGAATAAATTATAATTAATAAATTTAAATACATTAGAATTTAGAATATATATATATAATATATGAAAATTGAACACTATATAAGCATTTATTTTAAAATAATTTGAATGTTTGTATAAATTATAATTAATAAATCAGTACGAGTATATACATATTAAGCATTTCTTTCCAAAAGAAATTGAAGTAGTTCGTGAAATTTATGATGTGAAAGGGGAGGTTAATTGTGATCTCCGTGTCATAGTACAACCTTTTAAAAGATTTAGAATCAAATTAAAAAAAAAAAAAAAAAAAAAAAAAAAAAAAAAAAAAAAAAAA